GGTGGATGGATGGATGGATGGATAGATGGGGTCACCAAGATGAAGAACAATGCCTAGAAACTCTTCAGAGTTTCCTCTACTCTTCCTATAAGATAATTCAGCCAACCGTTCCTGAGGTCCCCCAGCATTGGACACTGTTCTGAGTGCTAAAGCACAGTTAATAGATGGGGAAACTGAAGCTACTACACAGCTGAGGCACCAACGCTTGCAGCAACTCGGAGGAGGCTGTGCCTAGAATAGGAGAATCCCAGAGGCGCAGCCCTCACCCCTGCCCACAATAATGCTGGGAACCATTTGCTACTTCCGGCTGCCTGGGACCCACTGGGAGAGGAACCATTGTTTCGCTTGGAGCTTGGCCCCTTTCCTACCACCCAATCCTTCCCCTCCCATTGTCCTTAGTCCTCTCCTCAGGGTTCAGGATGCAGCTGCCAGCACAGCAGCTAAAAGAATGTGGAAGGGGCCTGGGGAAGCAGATGAGGCCACCCCAGAAGGAAGATTCTTCAGTTCCAGAAAAATGCCCCAGACAGTGGGCTCCATCAGCGTGGAGCAGGGCACTGGGCGCAGAACTCAGGCTTCAGAGGCAGACAGAAGCCGACTCAAGTCCCAGCACCTGCCATTGATGTCCTGTGTGTCCCTGGGCAAGCCTCTTGCAATCTCTGAGCACCATTTTCCTCCTCAATTGAGCAGGGATAAAACACTTGCCTGGTGGAGATTAGCTTATTGTAGTGAGGATTAACACCAAAATGCTTGACACCTAAGTATGTTTAAATGTTCATTTCTGTTCCTCCCCCCTCTTTAACCATAGCAAAACGCCAAGAAAGATGATGGCAAACAGAGTTCTTAAAGTAGATGAAAGCAGTCTTTTCTATTAGGTAAATAAAGGCATCTCATCAAAATTACATTTAGTAAGTCTGTAGTACATCACATTTAATAATTAATCATATTCATAGGGCAGCTGACATTTATTGAGCACTAAGTATGAGTCAGGCACATTCCCTCTTCACAGCTACTCTGTGAGCTAGGTATTATCAGGGCCAGCTCCAGGGGTGTGTGCACGATGATTTGGGGCTTCAGAAGCACTTTCTCAGGCATCTTCTATTTGTCTGAAATAGATGTTATCGCCATTTTTCAGAAGTCAGGCACATTCCCTCTTCACAGCTACTCTGTGAGCTCGGTATCATTAGGGCCAGCTGCAGGGGTGTGTGACCAGTACAGTTGCACAGAACCCCCTACTCAGAAGGGTGCCCCTCAATGGGGATTTAATGTTCTGTGGTTGCCATCTTGAATTTCATAATAATTTTATTTTTGAATTTGTGTTTTGTAAATGAAGTCCATGAAACAATGAAGCATGCACTGGGGCCTGGAGTCTCAGCTCACAGGTCATTCTATCTCTCATCACCTCCCCCCCTTCCTCTCCCCACAATGGGTTCTCATCTACCTATTTCCCTGTCCTTCTTCTATCGCAGGCAGGGGCCTGGCTGCAGGGAGGGGATGCACACCAAGTCAGAGGCAGGGTCCCAGGCCCCTGTGATTATCCCCATGCCCAAGGGAGCATAATATTCATTAGTGAATCATAAACAGCATGACAGGCTGAGTAAGGAATAACAAAGGAAAGAAAAATCGTTTTTCTGCTTTTTCACAAAGGACCTTGCATTTTCATTTGCACTGGGCCCCACAAATTATGTAGCCAGTCCTGCAGAGAGGGCAGGATCTGGCTGACCGGAAGTCATTGCAGTTGGCCGATGCATCTGTGGCCTGCCTCACTCCTGTGGTTTCCTCAGCCCCTGGCTCCCTGTTGTAGTAGAGTGGCCAGTAAGACAGAAGAACTCATTTAAACTTATTATTCAACGTTGATTAAGTTAAATGTAAATTGAAATTGCCGTATATAGCTAGTGGCTACTGTATTGGAGTGCACAGCTCTAGAATCAAAAGGAGACAATAAAAGCAATAACTGCACCATGATTTGGGGCTTCAGAAGCACTTTCTCAGGCATCTTCTCATTTGTCTGTCCAGTGAAATAGATGTTATCACCATTTTTCAGAGGGAAAACTGAAGCTCAGAAAATTTAAATGGCTTCCATGCTGACAGAGATAATATTAGAAGCATAATTTAATCCCAGATCTCGTGATTCCAACTCCACTCATACTTCTGTACAACTCTGCCCACTTATGTAAGTATCTATCACATATTTATCAGATCATTGTTACTAAATGCCTGCCTCTGGGCTAGACACAGAAAGATAAATAAGACACACCGGCTTTGGGTGTGTCTCCCTGAACAAACACAGTGCAAATGGCACAATAAGAATGATCGAATAATTGCCATAAAAGAATTACTTTAAGCCCGGCCTGCATGGCTCAGCGGTTGAGCATCAACCTATGAACCAGGAGGTCACAGTTCAATTCCTGGTCAGGGCACATGCCAGGGTTGTGGGCTCGATCCTCAGTGTGGGGCGCTCTCTCCTCTTTGCTCTTCAGGTCCAGCCACACCAGGTTTTCCAGGTCACTCCTTCCTCCTGGCCATTGCGTAGCTCATTCTCCCATTTCCTCCCAGTCTATAACCCAATGTCCCCTTATCACAGAGGCACTTCCCATCCCCTTATGTTTCAGTTTTTTCGTAACACTTATCACCTCCTGACATGTGATGTGCATGTCTGTTGTTGCTCTCCTCCCAACAGAATAAAGCTGCAGGAATAGGATTGGCAGATAAATACAGGATGCCAGTTAAATTTGGATTTCAGATAAAAAACTAATTTTTCAGTATGAAGATGTCCCAGAAACTGTATGGGACATACACTAAAAAACTATTCATTGTTTATCTGAAATTCAAACTTTACTGCGTGTCCTGTATTTATTTTTAGGGGGACAGTAGTTGTTTTGCTTATCTCTGTATCTCCAGCGCCAGAACTGCTCGTGACACGTGGTAATATTTATGAAATGAATAACTGTGTTCAGTCAGGTCATAAACAGCCCGTGAGTCAGAGGTGCGTTGCCTCCAAGCTGAGTAAGTTCATAAGTTCAGTTCGATAAACTTTTTAAAAAATATATTTTTATTGATTTCAGGGAGGAAGGGAGAGGGAGATAGAAACATCACTAATGAGAGAGAATTATTGATGTACTGCCTCCTGCACGCCCCCTACTACGGACTAGGGATTGAGCCCGCAGCCTGGGGGTGTACTCGAACCCAGGACCCCCTCAGGAAACAACACTCCTCTCCAGCTCAGGTGAGCGCACGCCCCTGTGGGGGCGGGGCCTCCCCACCAGCGAGCGGGCCCAGCCCTCGCAGGTGCCCAGGGCCCTTTAACGCCCCGCCTCCTGCCTCTACAAGCGCCTGTGGTGTGACGTCACCAGGAAGACGGCCAATGGGAACGCGGCTTACTGGAAGGCGGCGCTGGCAGTTGCTGCCAAGAGGAAGTGAGCTGGAGCTGGAGCGATGGCCCGGGGC